AGACGAATGTCTCACAAAATTGTATCAACCGGTTTACATGAACTGAAAACCCCTTTTTCTTGTAAAACTGAAAATAATTATACCTTTAAATAATTATTTATTTCTTCTGAAATGATAGTGTAGTGTTTGTAACTCTCAAACTATACCAATTATAGTTTAGTATGTTTGTTTGTCAAGACTTATTTATATAATCATTTATATAAATACATAGTAGTGATCTTGTCTAGATGTTTTTAAAAGATAAAAACTCACATCTAACACAAGTATGAGAAATTTGTCTAGTTTCAAGATGTATGATCAAAACAACATTTTTTTTCGGTTGTATCCCACAAATTGGTGAAATAACTAAAATGTAACCATTTTTGTTAGAAAATCATATTTTGGTAAAAGTATAAAATTCTTGTAGTTTTGAAATCATGACTTTTCTCATGATTTTGGTAAAAGTATAAAATTCTTGTAGTTTTACATCACAAAACTAATATAACACAAATAATTGTCTAAAAACTAGTGATAACCACATTTCATGAAAATAATGTTTTATTTTTAACAGAGAGATGAAACATGCAAGTATTTGTGCTATAAATCAAGCTTTACTTGTATTCGCCCCCCCCCCCCCTAAAACATGAAAAACTAAAAAATATGGGGGTATGAACTCACCTTGAGTGTGGTTGTTGGTTGTTTGAAGAGATGATGTGAAGATCTCCAAGCCTAAAACACTTGAATGAGGTTGATGAACTCCTTGGAAATGATATTATCCTAAGAATTTTAACACATGATAACGTGTGTAAATAAGATGAAACTAGTGTAAAAATGTGTAGAAACACTAGATTAACAAGAAGAACTTACCAAAACTTCTAAGAATAAGCTTGGAGAATTAACCCTTGGAAGCTTTGGACTTGATCCTTGAGAGTATTTGGAGTAAACAAAAAAGAATATGGAAATGGTGGGGGTTTGTGGGTGATCTCGGCCCAAGATAAGGGGGAAGGTGAAATGATGTTTACTAAGATATTTGGGGGATAATAGCATCGTTATATGTTATATGGTAGGGGTTTGTGGGTGATCTCGGCCCGACACTTCCTTATCTTCTTTCCCACCGAAATCTCGTTAGCATGACCGAAATCACCTGTGATTTTGGTCCTAGGTATGAATTCGGTCATGTATGATTTCGTCCATGGCATCTGATTTTGTCCTTCACAACCGAAATATCAACGTTCTTGGGTCCCAAAACCGAAATCTCTGAAAGCAAGGCATAATTCATGCTTTATTCCGTAATTATTTGACTTTTGATGACTCGTTTAACTTCTGTTGGATCCAAGATTGGCAATTGTCACATTTGGGCTCACCAATACCCTAGCAGCGTTCATCGATCTGATGAACAGGGTGTATAGGCCGATGTTGGATCGGTCGCTAATCATTTTTAGTGATTATCTTGGTCTATTCTAAGACCAAGGAGGAGCACGAGCAGCATCTGAGGAAGGTATTAGAGACACTGAGAACGAAAAGGCTTTATGCCAAGTTCTCAAAGTGTGATTTCTGGTTGCGAGAGGTGCATTTTTTGGGACACATCATCAACCAAGAGGGTATTTTGGTTGATCCAGCCAAGATTGAGGCAGTGATGCGGTGGGAAGTACCGAAGAATGCATTTGAGATTCGTAGTTTCTTGGGTCTAGCAGGGTACTATAAGATATTCATCCAGGATTTCTCCAAGATAGTTGTACCTTTGACTCATTTGACCAAACCTTTATTAACAATTGTAGCTTAGAGCTCCTGGAATTGGCTGTTGATTAGATGACACCCTTCATATGTTGTTAGGGGCAGTAGCCCGTTGCTAGACGTCAGCTACTGTCTATGTCAGTCTATAATGTATCTTGTGCAAGTGGGATATTGTTGAATCTATATGCCCAAGAATCATTATGGAGTGATATTTCTAATAATATATGATCCTATAGGGTCACACCTTTACCAAGTTGGCACATTTTGTATATTTATTATTAATGTGATTATTAATAAATAATATCGATTCTTGTATTTTAATTAGGGAATAATTATTGTTTTGTGAAAATAATAATTATAAGAGAGTATAACTATTTACTATTTGATATGGTATGAATTAATAAGTCATGCACAATATATTCGAATAGTTGGATTCTTTTGTCCTTTACTTAAAGACAAAGTTTATATTTTATAAAATTGGAGTATATAAAAAATAAAGAATCCTACTCTTTTCAAGAGGTATGGCCAAAAATATTAAAATATGGGGGCTGCTTTTCAACCTCCACGCTTTTTCTTCCATGCTTCTAAAGGCTAGAAATACTTTAGAGTATTTCAATAAAAAAGGCCTTAATTTGCATGGACTATATAAGAGAAGCATGAGGCTTGCATTTTTGAAAAGTGAAGCACTTCTTCTCTTATGCTCTCTAAAACCGTGGGTTTTCTACTATTCTTCCTCTCTTTCTTTTGAAGTTAGTTTGGTGGTTTAGCAGCCTTCTCGACTTGTCTCCTTTAGTGCTTATTTGAGTTAAGAACTTAAAGGCTTAAGACACTCAAGAATACAAGACGAAATTATCATTCCAAGTGCCTTAATCTTGATGGTGAATACTTGTAGAGAAGATCATGTTCTTTGATCTTTACATATTCATCAACACCCCAAAACCAAGTAGGTTCAAAGGCTTCAAAGGGTATCTCTAAAACATCATATGGTTGTTTTTATTTCATTCTAACCTCTATAAATGGATCCATGATGATTTGGTTTTCTTATGAACTAAAAATAAGCTTGTTATTTTTAAAGTCTTCCGTTGCCTTTTTTGTGAAAAACAAACTGATATTTCATATCAAAACCCAACAGATAGTATAGTAAGGCATTTGTATAGGAAGGTCTTTTTGGTACATTTTATACATGTTACTTTATAAAGACACTAAGTGCACATTTCATCCAGTTGTTCTCATGTACCTTTCGGTTGCCTTTTTGGGATACATTTCAGACATTTTGGTACAAATGGATGGCTGGTACATGTTAATTCATCTTTTATTATTTAGTTATTTGTAATGGACCTTGGATGATGTAATGCATCCCCCCATTATGGTATATTATCTTCACATTATGGGATGTTTGTTATGCTTATATTATAGATCATTTTTGTAACACCTGTTCGAGGTATGAGGTAAATTTTAAATATTAATTTTTATTTTGAGGTGGCAACGACTTGGTGTAGCTTCACCATGGCGTGGCGGTATCATTTCGGATCGAGAGTTTAAATGAACCGCCATGGTGTTCCCATAGGTGCCACGGTGTGGCATGTGTTTTTAATGAGAAACCCTAATCCATGGGATTTGGGCCCTATGTAAAGAACATTAAGGCTAGGGTTTCATGATCATTCAGCCTCCATAACCCTCTCAAGCTCAGAAACCCTAACCCTAACCTCAATTTCAAGTGTGAGCTCAATTTGGTGTTTTTGGTGATTTTTGAAGGAGAAGGAAGCCTTTGGTGTAGTGTTTTACATTGCAAGCATCATCCATATCAGTTTGCATAACTTCTGGACCCTGGTGATTTCCAAGACTCAACCTTTTTCCTTCAAAGTTTTTAGATCTTAGATTTTGTCCCCTTTTCGTGATTTCTTGATCGGTTTGACTGGTGAGATCTCATAAAGTTTGCAGCTTTATGAATCACCAAGCCATTTGGGGTAGTTGGTGTTTTGGATCTTGATTAGAAATGAGTTTCGGGTGTCATGCATGGATTTTTGGCAATTAACGCTCATTTTGACCCAATATGAGTTCAAGACACACATTTGACATACACATCTGAAAACAGGGATTTTTATGTTAGTAAAAGTGCAAGAAACCTTTCCAGAAATGTTGGACAAGGGGTCTTTAGGATTAAGTGTTTATTCATTAAGCCAAGTAGTGTTTTTTCCCTTTTAAACCTAGGAGAAGAGTTCCTTATCTTTTGGGGAGTCTAAATGGATAAAGTTGGAAACTTTATCCATTTAGACGATAGAATAGAATATATCTAAGCTTTGGAACCCTTAGAATCAAAGGAATCGACTTAATACATTAAGCTATTAGGATCCCAGCGCCCACGTCATGGCCTTAGGTCGCCACGACATGGCGATTGGATATGGCCCATCTATTTTTTCATTTCGCTACCACAACATGGTGTCGAGTTCAAGTGACTTTTGACCATTTACCATTGACTTTGACTAAATTTGATGTTAGGTAATTTAGGGTATTTTTAGTTGTAGATTGAGGCTTAGTCCCTGTATGTTGTGCAGTTGACCCGTAGAGCCGGTACTTAGAGCATCATTCAGTTCAACTATCTTACGGACATTTAGGTGATTTTTCCTAATTGTAGTTGTGGGTTGAAGAAACCAATTCCAGACTACTAGGTTATATATCAAGATATATAGGATGATGTTATGTTAGTTATGTGTTAGACTAGTAGATTTGTATGATTACACTTGCTGGTTATTGATTATTATTGTATATGTCGACATGTTATTGTGTGATGGGTTGAGGTGAACATGTTATGTGTTGAAGGCCAAGGAAGCGATCCAACTTATGATGTACGCTCGGGAGTGATCCACCTTGTAGCTAAAGGCTTGGTGGTGGTCCAGTCTAGTGTTGTAGTTCAGGTTGTGCGTGTTGTATTATGTTGTTGTGTGGGGTACTTTGGGCGAAATCACTAAGCTTGGGCTTATAATTTGATGTTTTGGTTATATCCTCGACATTACCTAACACATTTAGAAAAAAATTTCTAATTGTACAGTAGACTATCATTAATTTCAGGTGTATACAATTACAATACAATATATACCAAACGTTAACTAATAAAGTCATAAACGCAAAAATAGCCCAAGCTAGAAATTCATACACATTCGATCAACATAACAATATATATACATATGCTCATTATAAAATGAACCATATATGAAATTTCACGAACAAACCTCTCAAAAGCGAAATTCAAACTTACATCACATATAGAGGTTCTCGTTTGGCAACCTTTATGAAGGGACAACGATGAGTGGTTCTCTTTTCTTTAGTGTAATTCCAAAATTTTCAGAAAGGTCATGCTTTTCACCCTCCGGCAAGCTCCAGTCGAACGAGTGTAAGAGCGATACCAAGATATACATTTGCATTTTCTCCGCCAATGGAACACCTGGACACAATCTCCTTCCCGACCCAAATGGGATGAAATTTAAATTTCTTCCTTTAAAATCATATTTGTTTGTCAAGAACCTTCCTGGATTGAATTCTAACAGATTATCCCAATACTGAGGGTCCCGATGGATAGACCAAACATTCAGAAACCTGGTACAACGTTTTGCAATGGTGTATCCACCGACAATACAAACCTGTCTTGGCAATCTTCGGAGTATGAGAGGGACTACAGGGTGCAACCGAAATGTTTCTTTTATTGTTGCATCTAGGTATTGTAGTTTAGGGAGATTAGATTCTTCGACAATGTTGTCAAGTCCTATGATTTCTGCTAATTCTTCTTGAACCCTTTTCATTATGTAATGACTTTGCATGATCTCTGCCATCGCCCACTCTATCAGCGGTGTGGTTGTTTCTGATCCTGCAACCATAATGTGTTGGTGATTTTAGTGTCACCATGTCATTTTATGTAACTGGAATTAGCATGTGAGCTAAGGGGCTTCTTAATTTGTTTTCTAATATGTGTACGGGTTGGTGCGGAGTGCACGCATGTATAAAATCAAAATAGTAGTCGGTTCGACGACTAGTCGGGGGTCCTGGGGCAGCGCCCCTTTGGCAGGGTCTAGGGGCAGCGCCCCTAGCGGGGTCCAAGGGGCAGAGCCCCTTGCTGGCATCCCACTGACTTGCTTCCAAAGGAATCCATAGTGGGATATTCCGATTCTTGAGGGTGATTATGGTAAAACTAACAAAACTCGTTAGTTTTGGTAACCCTAAATCCTCACTAAAATCCAAATTACGCTGACTTGCTTCCAAAGGAATCCATAGCCGCCCAACCCTAATATCGTTTATTATAGAAACGACTCTTCTTTTCAGAAGAGAGATACGATCTTAAGCTCTCGTTTTTCATTATACTTTCACAGAATCGTCTAGCATATTGGCTTACGAATTCTGTGCCAAGAATTGTAAGTGTCCACTTGGATTATCCTAGGCTGAATTTCTTGTAACCTAGGCATAGGGTCGAAATATCAGTTCGGAAAGTGATATCACGATCCAAGTTGGTATCCAGATCTCCACCACAAACCCTAAATTTCCCTACAATCGAACTGATATTTACTTTTCCTGGAGATGGGTGACTCAATCCGCGAGATGACTACTAAGTTTGAAAGTTGGAGAAGTACGAAGGTGTCGACTTCAGGCGCTGGAAGAAGAATATGCACTTCATGCTGACTACTCTGAAAGCAACATACGTGCTGACTACTCCAAGACCAGCGAAGCCAGAGGAAGGTGCTGTTGAGACTATTGAAGAGATAAGAATGAGATAGAAGTGGGACAATGATTACTACATCTGCAAATGTCATATTCTAAACGGTATGTCTGATGCTTTATTTGATATCCATAGTGAAGCCTTGTGTGCCAAGGAGTTGTGGGGACACCCTTGAGTTGAAGTATATCACCGAGGATGATTCTAGCAAGAAGTTTCTGGTCAGTGACTTTAACAATTATAAGATGGAAAACTCAAGGTCTGTTACTGAACAATTCAATGAACTCCTTGGCATATACGGTCAGTTTAAACTGCACCATATGAATATGGATGAGTCCATTGTTGTGTCAACCATCATTGACAAACTGCCTCCATCCTGGAAAGACTTCAAACACAACTTGAAACATCAAAAGGAGGGAACTGTCTTTGGTTCAACTTGCTAGTCACATTCGTATTAAAGAATCTCTTCGTGCGAAGGAAAGTGACAAATCTGAAAAACCCAAAGGAAAAGTTGAACCTGGACAGCCCTTGGTTCATATGGTTGAAAATAAACCAAGGAAACAGAACCACATAGGACATGGCAAATGTAAGCAGGAACATGTCCCAAGCAACTCCAACAAAAAGAGAAAGGATCTGGTTTGTTGGAGGTGCAATCAGGTTGGGCATTGAAAGCGTGATTGTCGTGTGAATTTGGGCAACAATGGTGCTGGAAACAGTGGAGCCAATGGGAAAGTGAACGGGTCTTCGGCCCAAGTTAAAGGAGGTCAGTTTTTGACTAACTTTGATAATTCTAATCAGAATTATGTTTATTATGTTTCATTTATTCCTGAATCTATCTATGTGTAGGATGATGATGTTTCTTGGTGGATCGACTCCGGAGCAACGAACCATGTATGCAAGGATAAACGAATGTTTCAATCATTAACTCCGCTTCAAGATGGGTCGGTGCTGAAAATTGGAGACGATTCTTTTATTCCTATTTGTGGTTTAGGTGTCGTGTGTCTTGAATTTACTTCTGGAAAGACAATTAAGTTATTTAATATTTTGTTTGTTCCCAAGATTCGCAATAATCTTGTTAGTTCTAGTTGTTTGAATTCTGTTGGTTTTAAGCAAGTTATTGAGTCGGATAAGTTTGTTTTGTCTAAGGGTGGAATGTTTATTGGCTTTGGATATTTAAATAATAGAATGTTTCGTTTAAATCTTGTTGACAAATCATTATCTGTTCAAAATTCTGCATTTGTATCTTCTGCTTCTAATGTTGACAAATCTATGTTTGGCATGTAAGATTACGTCATGTCAACTTTAGAAGGATGCATGAGATTTAAAAAGATGGATTAATTCCAGCCTTTGATATGACATCTGATAAATGTAAAACATGCATGCTTACAAAAGTGACAAAACAGCCCTTTCCTAGTGTTACTAGAAATTCAGCTGTTTTGGAACTTGTACACAGTAACCTGTGTGATTTTCACTCCACTCCTTCTTTGGGAAATAAAAAGTATGTAGTCACTTTTATTGTTGACTGCACTCGGTTTTGCTATGTGTATTTGTTACATTCTAAGGATGAAGTCTTAGATAAATTCAAAATATACACAACCGAGGTGGAATTGCAATTGGGCATTCCGGTTAAATATCTCAGGACTGATAGGGGAGGTGAATATATGGATCCCATATACTTCCAATCAGTGGGTATCATTCATGAGACCACGACACCTTACACGCCGCAACAGAATGGTATTACTGAACGCAAAAATTGAGTTTTAAAGGAAATGGTAAACTCGATGTTGTCTTACTCAGGGTTGAGTGAATGATTTTGGGGAGAGGCCATGTTAATGGCTTGCTATTTATTAAATAGGGTTCCAAATAAAAGGAACAAAACAGTCCCATATGAACTTTGGTTCAAGAAAAAGCCGAATCTAAGTTATTTTCGGGTTTGGGGATGTCGGGAAGTTGTAAAACTCACCGAGCCCAAAAAGAAGAATTTAGGAGAACGTGGAATTGATTGTATATTCATTGGATATGCTGAACATTCCAAGGCATATAGGTTTTATGTAATAGAACCTAATGATTCGGTATCGGTTAACACTGTTATCGAATCACGAGATGCAATCTTTGATGAGATGAGGTTTTCATCGATTCAAAGGCCGAAGCATCTGACTTTTGGTGCTCATAAAGAGCAAAATTCAGAAAATCAAGATGGTGGTAATGTGCAAGAACCACAAGAGCTTCGTAGAAGCAAAAGAGGCCATATTGCAAAAAATTTCGGATCCGACTTCCAACTGTATTTGGTGGAAGGTTCAAGGGATGAAATTAATCTTGAATACTCTTATTGCTATAGTATTGAAGATGATCCTAAAACTTATCAAGAGGCCATGGAGTCTCATGATAGTGCCTTTTGGAAGGAAGCTATTGATGATGAAATGTCATCAATTCTTGAGAACAACACATGGGTGTTGTCTGATTTGCCTCCAGGTTCTAAACCACTTGGTTGCAAATGGATTTTCAAAAAGAAAATGAATGTTAATGGGACTATTGACAAGTTCAAATCCCAGTTAGTCATTCAAGGTTTTAGACAAAAACCCGATATTGACTATTTTGATACGTATGCTCCGGTTGCACGTATTGCTACTATTAGATTGTTGATTGCTTTGACAAGTGTCCACAATCTGGTTATTCACCAAATGGATGTGAAAATATCCTTTTTAAATGGTGATCTTGACGAGGAAGTTTACATGAAACAACCTGAAGGTTTTATTATGCCCGGTAAAGAGCATATGGTTTGTAAACTTGCCAAATCTTTGTATGGGCTGAAACAAGCGCCTAAACAATGGCATCAGAAATTTGATGCAGTTATTTTTTCCTTTGGTTTCAAGACAAACCAATGTGACAAATGTGTTTATAGTAGATTTGATGATGCTACTAAAGCTAGGGTGATCATTTGCTTATATGTAGATGACATGTTGATTTTTGGTACCGACCAAAATCAAGTAGATGAAACAAAGAAATTGTTATCATCTAAGTTTTCCCTGAAATATTTTGGAGAGGCTGATGTAATTCTTGGAATAAGAATTAAAAGGATGAACAAAGGTTTGGTGATGACTCAAAGTCATTATATTGAGAAAATTCTCAAGCGATTTAATTTTACCGATTGTTCCCCTGTGACTACTCCTATGGACCCAAGTGTGAAATTAATGCCAAATAATGGCGTTCCCATTTCACAGTTGGAATACTCTAAGGCTATTGGTAGCTTGATGTATGCCATGACGGGTACCATACCTGATATTGCTTTTGCTGTGGGTAAGTTGAGCAGGTACACTAGTAATCCTAGCGCTCAACATTGGCAAGCAGTGAATAGAGTGTTTAAGTATCTCAAAAGAACCATGAATTATGGTTTGAGTTACCTGGGGAGTCCTTCGGTTTTAGAAGGTCATTCAGATGCAAGTTGGATAACCAACATGGAGGACCATTCCTCAACTTCTGGTTTGGTATTCTTGCTTGGGGGAGGTGCCATTTCTTGGGCTTCCAAGAAGCAATCTTGCATTACAAACTCGACAATGGAATCTAAGTTTGTTGCGTTAGCAGCTGCTTGTAAAGAAGCAGAGTGGCTAAGGAATTTAGTCTATGAGATTCCTTTGTGGTCTAAACCGATAGCACCTATTTCTATCATCTGTGATAGTGCAGCCGCTTTGGCTAAGGCATATAGCCAGGTTTATAATGGCAAGTCTAGACACCTAGGTGTTAGACATAGTATGATTAGAGAACTAATCATGAATGGTGTTATTTCAGTTGAGTTTGTGAAATCGCAACAAAATTTGGCAGATCACTTGACTAAAGGTCTGACAAGAGACTTAGTGAACAAGTCTGTAATCGGTATGGGATTAAAGTCCATTTAATTCTGTAATGATGAGACACCCAATTTCCTCCTAATATAATGTTAGGAGTTGAATTCAATGTGGAAAGCTCATACTTATAGATTGGAACACATCATGTATTCATCCCAGGTATGTGTTCTCTTATGCATGTTAGCCAGGTTGAAGTTTAACTTTTTAATAATTCCTTTGATAAATATATGTGCCGATACATGGAAAGGAGTTACCTACGTGATTGTGAAGTGTAGCCGCATTTCAAGAGGTTGTCGACTTGACCTTGATACGATCATGAGAGGATTGG